GCGAATGGCATGGATTTTGGACAGAGTATTCTGAATCTTCAGAGGATGAGGAAGGCTATGTCAGGTAGCTTTTGAAAGGGAACATGTAGCAGTTTAGATCGGATCCAGTGAATATGGGGCTTTTAATAGGGAAATGGCTCTACTGATATGGAGGACGAGGGAAATAGATGGCTATCCTCTGTTTTTAGACGAGTGAACTGAGCTTTGATTTTTGTGAGGTAATACAGGTGTTCAAGGTCTGTGTAAGGTAGGAATACATCAAATCCCTGTAGGGTGGTGTCCTGCAGGTTACAGTTTGAATCTGAGCCATATTAGCAGGAGTTAACCAGCTCCACCTTGAGACTTGACCAGACAAGTTGCTGGATTGGAATTGTGTAGGTAGTGTTGTGCCTCTGGAGATTAAGAGAGAGGGGAGTTTTGTTTATGTGTGCTTTATGCCTCTACAAGGACCGCGCCTCAGAGATAAGTCCTTCTGTCACACAAAGAAAAGAAGCAACAACTGTCTCGGGGGTGGTTAAGATAAAGACTGAGCAAATATCAGGGCTGAAACAATGTAGTTCGTTTTCAGACATTTCCCTGATTCTTTCCTGTCTTTCCATCAGAACAATAAGTCCCTTCTGATCACTGCATTTATCATTGGATTTGTCTGCTGGTCATGCTCCTTCAGCTGGACTTCATAGCTTAGCCGTGCACAGAAGAAAGCTTGTATGATCCATATGGCTGTCTTCCTGTCCTAGGGCAAAACAGTTACTTGTTAGTTCAAATCTGTTTATGATAAATGTCTGCTGTTTTTTTCACAAGACTCTATAAATGCACCTTAGAAAATGCAATCCACTGCACTGTCAGTCAGTTTTTGCCTTCTTGTTTGTGTCATCTCTTCAGGTAATCGTTTTTCTTATTCTTTTCTACTAACCACCGAGGAGGCTGGAAGGCACAAAAGCTTAAGCTTTTTAGTCATTCTGACCTCTCTGGAAAGTTACCTGCCTGATACAAGGCAGCAATGTGCACAGATATGGTTTTTCATGTGTGTAAAAGTATTAGGAAACAAACAAACAAAAAAAAACAACAAAAAAACCCAACCCAAACCAAAAACTTGCTCTCTGTACCCAGAAAGAGTGACTAACTAAGGAGAACAGCATGACGGTGTAATCCTGTAATCCTCTCCAGATTTCGACTGGGAGCCATTTTGTCCTAAATATTAGCACCGTCATAAAAATAACGCAGAGTAATCAGTCTTGTCTTCCCCTAGCCCCTAATCTTTGCTCCAGGCTATTAGCAAATGAACAAAATTTTCCCAAGCTTTTGCATGAGACTTACTGTGCCATTACTTTAAAAAAAATAAGACTAATTTCTGCCTCACTTTCTTATTGTTCCCCTATCTTCACCCCTTTGTTATAACCAGTGAGTCATATTTCACCTTTTCCTTAGTCTGCATTCACTCCTCTACTGCTTTTCCTGCCACTCCTGGAATGAATTATCTGCTCCTTTACATGAAAAAATTATGTTTCCAATGCCATATTTTAAATTCACGTCTTGTATGGGGTTTCATCCCGTTGTCTCGGAAATGAAGATGGCCTTAATTTCCTAATTGCATGAGTACCTCTGATAAAAAATGGCGATATTCTCCCTTTTTCTAACAATTTGGTAACACATTTGCCGTTGGTAAAGGTATGTTCTCACTGATTAACCGATTCAGTACAAATGCTGCATTTTATGGAAAAAGAATTTTTAATAGCTATGCACAAAATATAAGTGTTTAATTCCTGGGGTCAAGTATTCAGTTTGAATTTGTGTCTTGTCATGTAAGTCAGACATAGGTTTTCATCCTGGCAGTGAGCTTCAAAGTAGAGTTTGTCTGGGATGTTCCTCATCTTTCAGACTAAAAATCAGGGATCTCAAGATTATTTCTGAAATTCTGTCTTCCAGATGAATGGATATATTAATTTCATTTTAAATTCGTGCTGTAGAGAAATCATGTTTACTTTGGATGCTGTTAAAGTGAGTGTAGCAGTATATTAAGTGTCTGCTCACGTGTGATCCTAATACAACAAGTGGTTTGAGTCTGGGGCAAGAGGATCTGCTGCTCAGTTTTATTTTTTTCATTACACCAATAATCATGAACATGTTCCTAGTATGAATGGGCACATTAGTGCTATGAGCATCAAGTTACATACTTCTTCCTTTACTTCTATATATCAAGCTTGGTCATCTGATGACCATTCCCCCATCATTTGACCTAGGATGTTGTGCTGCATACACTAGAAGCTGGAGCGGGAGCTTCAGCCCCTAACACTGCCTATAATGCATCCTCATCTAGAAGTAGTACTCTGTGCAACTTGGAGTTTAATTTCAGTGAGTTCATTGTCTGGGAGCTGATGATTAGAGATATAGAGATATAGATTATAATCAGAGGATGATTATAAAGATTATTATATATTTTTATTATACTATTATTGTTACTGTTTGACTCTATTATTAGACTACAGTATTTTTTTGTTGTTATTATTAGATCTGTCTCCTGCGCTAGCCAGGAGACACCATGGTTGTCACCATGAAGGGCTGGAAATGTGCAGGCTGGAAGCTGGGAAGTTGAGATTTCCATGTCTGAGAGCAACCACCTCTTTGCTTGGCTCAAAAGGATGAGGGAAATGCACTTTCAGTGGCTTGATATATTCGGCACCAACTGAGTTAATTTTATTTGGGCAATTAATGTGTCCCAGGGGACTTAATGTGAGCATGGTGCCAGCTAGTCTGAGGCCTACTTGCGTTCAGTAATTTCTCACTAAAGACAGGAGAAATTCCAGCGATCAGTTAACAGACTGCTGAACTGATTGGATCTAAGACACTAGCTCAGTTGGCCCTTGCTTGCTCCAAGATATGAAGGCCTGATTTTTCACAATTAGAAGTCACTGAATGTTTTGCTAGTATAAACAAAACTGTTTGATTTTTTTTTTTTTCTGTTCAGTCTGGTTTTCAGAAAAGTCTAGAGCACATTAGCTTTGGTTTTCCAAACAAAACAACAGCAAAGAAGTTTCAGTCCAGTCAGTTAATACTTAACGGAACTGTTAAGTGACTGCAAAGCCCTAACATGGCAAGCAACGTTGGTTGCTCTGCTTCTGTGCTGTCATAGCCATAGCATAACAGTCTTCGTTTTGTTGAGTTCAAGATGATTGTGTGATACCAATCCACAGGGATCTCACTGAGTGTTTTACAGAGAAAATGAAGCTAGGGATAAAGTTACTTAGGACAGTTTTGTGCTAGGCCAGTCACACACGTCTAAGCTGGGAGCAATGCTCATACCATAAATTGGGCTATGTATCCTTCCAGCCCATGCTTCACAACAACACTTGTTTTCTTCTTGTTTGTCATTGCTCAAGATAAAGGCAGTGTTCCAGGGCTGTGAAAGACATCCCAACATTGCCAGGCAATGCAGGAGTTGTACATAAGGTTGCTTTGCTTTGCCAGGTGAAGATTTTGTGTAACCCTTATAGTTATAGATACAGAGAAAATATGGGGCCTTCATCTGTGCTCAGTCCTACCATTCTCTCGTCCTCAAAACCAGCACTTGCATTTAAAAAAATGAAAACTTGTAGCTTGTGCTTGAGCATCTACTAATCTCTAAAGGCTTCGGAAAGTTGTATCCTCTGTAGAATATAGAAAAAATTAGTTCATAATGAACAAGGAAACCATAATTAATATAATTAATTATTAATAAGACCATAATTAATGGTCTTTTGTGTGCCTAAATCTCCCTACTAAGAAAATGTAAGATTTCCTACAGAGATGTATAGGAGCTCATTTCATTTGAAATCAGTTTTTAGAGATATAATGACTACTGTTGGATGTTTTTGGGATGCGTATAGCAAATTATGTAGTGTTCTCCAAAAGCATTTGGGGTTGGCTTGTTGTGAACAATGGTACTTCTCTGAAGAAGGTAGTTTTGGCATCAACTCTTGAAATGAACTGAATCACAGAATCACAGAATCACAGAATGGTTGAGGTTGAAAAGGCCTCCGGAGGTCTTCTGGTCCTCTGCTGAAGTAAATTGTTCTGGAATTCTGCTGCTTACTACACTCCTGAGTTTTATTTAGAAATAAAGAAAGATGTGTGCTACCCTCAAAGCTATTTCTTGTTGCTGTTTGAAAAGTTTCCATGTTTAACTGTCTTTTCTGGCGGGCAGTTAAGCCCACCTTGTCGACAGCACCCTCCTTCCTCCATGACTCAAGCTATTGTTGTGACTCATCTCAGGTGCACAACCTTGTGAAGTGCATTTTTCTCTGTCTAAATGTATGACATCCCCTGGATTTTGCCTTATCTGCTATGATGGTAATATCTTCTTGAAATGCCTTAAGTTGGTTAAGCAATGGTTCCCAGCTCTGATTCCATAGATTACTTGAATCAAATTGTTTGTTTAGCAGGTTTTTTAATTACCTTCTTAAAATAGTCCCTCTGGACTTTTTCCATACCCAATATTGAATTTACTCATGTTGTTTTTTTCAAAATGTAATAAAATTAACATTTCATTGTCTTGAATCATCAGAACTCTTTTGAAGTCAGAAAAAAATGTTGTGCTTGCTTTACCAGTTTCAACATTTGTGATTATTACTTGTGAAATATGTTTCTTTATTTATTTTGAAGTAGATATTTTTGTATTTATACACATAGATACGTTTGCATCATTGCTTTGTCTGCACTGAAAAATTCACCTCAATGTAGGCAAAAATGTGACTTTCTTTATAGATACAAAAAGCAAATATTGTTTAGCAGTTAGATTCTCTCATCCTGAATGGAAGGACCTTGTTGTAAATTTCAGTAAGACTTCTCTTTTATATGTTACCTCCTGCAGATATATATGGGAAAACCTGTGATGATATTGGTTTTGTTTACTGGTACTAGTACTAGTATTCATTATTTGGTAGGATTTCTTCAGATGTTGTAGAGGATAAGTTTGTTCATTTTGTTATGAACAAGAATAAATGAGTAACAGGAATGTTTTACAGGTTATGCCTCCTTGTCCAGGATGCTTATGGCATGTTCAGTGAAGTACAGCTACAGTGTCTGGATTCTGCAAAAGACCTTGAGCAGTACTGCAAGAGATGGGAGGGAAAATTCTGCTGTTTAGCTGGAATGAAAATTTTGCAAAGAACGACAAGAGGAAGGTGAGAACAGTTTGAGAAGAATGTGTTGAGTGCTGTGGCAGGCAGTGGTGATCTTCCATTTAATTATTTATGTGGTCAGTATTCTTTGGAACAACTGAATCAGGTTCTGTTCAATTAAATATCCTCATTGCCATTTTTAGGGCATCAAGTAGGCATCAGCTGGATCCAATTGCACTTGAGCCAATCATATTCCTAAATCAGCGTAAATAAGCTGACACACAAAAACAGACTTAGCAGAGAACGGAATTTAGAAGAATTACCTTATGCAGTGGTTCATAAAATATGAATTTTCTTCCTCTTCAGTAGATTCAAAGACTTAAAAATGTTAGTTCATCTCTCTTCTTTGCAAAGCTGTTTATTACAATGTGTTGCGGTTTTTTTTCTTCTGTTTTTCTGTTCTTTTTAGTCTGAGTTGAAGTTTCAAGAAAAGATTTTTGCTTGGTATTTGGGAGCTTAATTCAGTAAGGCCTATACATTTTTGAAAGCACAGTTAAAGTGTCTCTAAAGAAAAATAAAAACAAACAAACAAAAACAAAAACGAAGCAAACAAACCTAACACTGAAAAACCCTCTCAAATGATACAAGCATTCCTGTTGTGGAATAAGAGCATCCACAGACTTTCAGAAAAATCCCCACAACTAATTAATAAATAGATGTTATGGTACCTCCTTCGTTTTGCTAATTCTTTGATTTCTTTTACTTTCTTAACATAAAATGTATTAAATATGTTAGATGAAAAAACAACTCCACTTTAAGTAGATCTTACAGAGTTATCTTTCAGAGTGTCTTTCCATGGGAATCGATATAGTATCCACATGGGGAGCTATATAAATATTACTAGATTGGTTTAATTCTCAACATGATTTATTCTGGTAAAAACATCCTATCTCGATAAGCCTTTGCTATTAGAATGGCTATAATATTTCATCTGACACTTTTTTTCCTGTCGAAAAAATGCTGTTTCATCAAAACCAGAAAGTTTCACAGAAACTTTATCTATTTTGGAGACAATTTTACTGGGAAGATTTTTTCAAGTCCAGAGGGAGTGAATACTCTCTCTCTTTTTCATTTCATGAAAACTTTCAGAAAGTCTCATATTTGTTTCATACTGGAACAAAAACAAATTTCAAAGCCTTGAAATGTTTAGCAAAATGGAATTGTTGTTTTCCAGCCAGCCCTATTCAGTATGCTTCTCTTTTTATGTACTTGCAGTGTTAATTTTCAGATCCTTTGGATTTCAAGCCTACTTGCATTTTTATGGATCTTTAATAACAAACACGTCTTCTTATTTAATTATTTTGTTGGCCTTTTTTTTTTTTTTTTTCAAGTTACATTTTTTCCAAACAAATTAAATAATGGCTTTGGAATTCTGGATACAAATGAAGTTTTACAACTGGCTGCTGGTGTTTCCAGTACTCAGCCTAGCTAATAAGAGACAGACTTTTTCTAATGTAAATTCTCTTTCAAAGCAGCAGTAACTTCTGGCTATTCTGAGGATGATTAGAAAACACACTGCTGAAAATGCTGGTGGCTCAGCTGGAGCTGTGCTGGTGGTAACCGTGCTAGAAAACATGAAAAGAAAATGGCCAGTGTAGCTTCAGGGACAGAGCGGTGGTTAAACGTGATTTCAGTGTACAAGTTGGGTGGGTGGGGGGATTGCTGTCCTTTCTTTCCTAATTGTTTTAGCTTAAGTTCTGTTTTATAACTTGCTATTACTTTTAAGTGTCGGGACATGTTTTGTGTCAATCTAGGTGTGATGGAAACCACAGTAAAGCCGTAGCTGAAATGAATATAAGGGAGCACTTATTCATGCAGAGTATAATTAGGCTGTAGAACTCATTGCCGCTGCATAAATGCGTTTCAAGAGCCAGTGGTATATCTGAGCACATGATGGGATATGCCTGTAAAGTTCCCAACCTTGGCTTGTAGAACATGAGTGAAGAACAACTCTGTGGTCTGCCCTTCAAGATATTTTTTTTCCCCCTTCCGGAACACCAATTATTGTTTGGAAGGAGATGGCTTTTAAGCTGTTTGTTTCCTGGAGTTTGACAGTGACTTTTAAAATAGATAAAAGGGAATAAAATGTAGGAAATATGAGGGAAATACAAGTCTTCTGCCTTTGTAGCACATGATCTGGAGAAGATCAAGAATGGCTAATAAGATCCCACATGTGCCTGTTGTCACGTGTACTGTAATCTCTTATGGAGACAAGGAGCTTCCTCAGTCATTCTGTTAGACAGAAGAGATTTTCATTTATCAGATTCTAGAAGTTCTCAAAGTTTTTTAACAATAGAATACTGTTACTGTTGAAATATGTTCCAGGTCATCATTCATCCTCATCATCAAGTATTTAATTTGAAGTACTATTTAACATAATTCCAGTAAATACAATTTAAAAATCACTATTGTGAACTGAATTTGCATTTCAGTGACAAAAAATCTATAATAAAGGATAGTTTGCATCTAGGCAATAACCTGGCTGTAAACCTGACTTGATTTTTGAAATGGACTTGTACTGTGAGGTGGACCGGAGGAACCAAACCCTTTTCTTCTCCCAATAGGAAAACCTTTGTGTTCCAAAACAAAAGTGGGATAAGAACTACAGCCAAATGTTTATTGATCTGCCACTGGTGATTTTTGAGCCTTTCTATCTCTTGCCCTCTTATTGCTTCATATGTCAACCTTATTAATTTAGCCCCTTGAGAAAGAGGAGGTGAGATTTCTATGGTGTACTGCTAGAGATGGAAATACTGGCTAAAAATGCATGCATTTCAACTAATAGGTAACCTTCCCATTTTGACCATTTGTTTCAGCATATCCAGTATAACCAGTAACTAAATGGATGCAATTAGATACAGGGACTGAGCACTCGCTAAAATGTCTCAGGAATAAATAAACTATAAATTGGCATAGTCTGCTGCTTCCTACTATAAACTGATTTCAATGAACTAGGATAAACTTTGTAGTTATATATTTATCTTTACTAGCAAAAAAATGTTACCTTTATGTTATTATCCCTGACCAGAGTTCTACACGGAATATTTTGTGTTTTGATAATCTGTGAACTTTCACCTGATTTGCCAGGCACTGACTTGTTTTACTACCGAGTATAGCAGACATACTATATTCTTCTCCTGATACTTATTTACAAGGTTGAAAGATGAGGAGTTTATATCCAGCAGGACAGAAAAATTACACCAATTCAAAAATGAAAGAGGGAAAATGCTTTACTGTAAAATATAATTAATGCAGGGTGTCAGTGCCAATTTTGTCTCTAGATAAAAAAAATGTTGAAAAAGTTTTTTTTTAAAAAAAGAAAGAAAGAAAGAAAGAAAAAAAGATGAGAATATTGCATGGATATTGCTAAAATCTACATATACAAGGACTGCTTTGAAAGTAATGCCTCCTGCTGTTTTATTATAACAACCATGATGTCAGAGGTGGACATTGGTGGTATGGCAGTAGAGGTTCAACCTTCCCACCAATATTTCATTACATTTTTGTTGCCATGTGGCAGATGGCAGAATAGGGGCAGTCTGATGTAATGGTGTCTGATGTGGGAGGGCGTATGAAGCAAAGGTGTGGAACTGAATTCCTCCGTGAGGGAAAAATGGCACCCACTGACATTCATTGAAGCTTGCTGAATGTTTATGGGGACCAACCAGTGGAAGTGAGCGCAGTGAGTGGAGGATGGTGCGTTTCAGCAGTGGCAGCAGTGACAGTTTGTCACTTCCGCTGGTGCAGATCTGTATGAGTGCAGCATGCAATAGGTTGGTTGGGGCTTTGGGCAGCCTGGTCTAAGGGGAGGTGTCCCTGCCCACGTTTGGAGATTGGAGCTAGGTGACCTTTAAGGTACCTTCCACACCAACCCACTCTATGATTCTATGATTAATCCCAATCTGTGGTACTGGTCACCATTTTCTTTTTTTTCCCCTCTTTTTTTTCTTTTTTATTTCAGTCTCATAATTCTCTGGTCTGTACAAATCATTTTTTTCCTCTGCTCTTTTTTTTTTTTTTTTTTTTTTTTTTTTTTCCTGAGCTGGCTGGGTAGATGGAGGGAGAGTAGTGTCTGTTGTGTATGTACCTTGACTTCAGCCAGGTGTTTTGCACAATCTCCCACAACATACTTGTTATGAAACTTAGGAAGTGTGGGATAGATGAGAGAGCGGTGAGATAGATTGAGAACTGGCTGGCTGGCAGAGTTCAGAGGCTTGTCATCAGCAGCACAGAGTTGATTGGAGGCCTGTAACTAGCTGTGTTCCCCAGGGGTTGGTACTGGGTCAGATCTTGTTCAACATCTTCATCAACGACCTGGATGAAGGTATAGAGTTCACCCTTAGCAAGTCTGTTGACGATACAAAGATGGGAGGAGTGTCTGGCATGCCTGAAGGCTGTGCTACCTTTCAGTGAGAACTGGACACACTGGAGAGTTGGGTAGGGAGGAACCTGGTTAGGTTCAACAAGAGCAAGTCTTGCACCTGGGGAGGAATAACTGCATGCATCAGTACAGGTTAGGGGATGACCTGCTGGAAAGGACCTCTGTGGAGAAGGACCTGGATATTCTTGTAGACAACAGATTAAACATGAGCCAGCAGTGTGCCCTTGTGACGAAGAGTGCCAATGGTATCCTGGTGTGCAGTAACAACAGTGTGGCCAGCAGGTCAAGGGATCTTCCCCCTCTACTCAGCCCTGATGAGACCACATTTGGACTACTGTGCCCAGTTCTGGGCTCCCCAGTCCAAAAAAGACAGGGATCTCCTAGAAGGAATCTAGAAGAGGGTCAGAAAGATGATTAATGGCCTGGAACATCTCCTGTATGAGGAAAGGCTGAGTAACCTGGGTCTGTTCAGCCTGAGGAAAAGAAGACAGAGGGGAGAACTAATTAATGTTTATAAATATCTTAAGAGATATGAGTGGCAAATGGATGAGGCCAAGTTCTTTTTGGTGGTGCATAATGATAGAACAAGGAGTAATGGCCTAAAATAGGAAGTTCCTTACAA